GCAACTATTTCAAAACAAATAACATGCACTTGTAGTGAGAATACAATTACCTTTATAAGTGCATGAAAAGTGGTTGAAATATTTTTTCTTAAATATTCTCTGATTCTGTACCACAGCAAAATAGCAGTCATCATGAGAATAAAAACACATCAACTTAGATGTGATCAGGATTTGAAAAAAGAATAAAAGCAAAACTAAAACTATAATATATATAATAAGAAAACAGAATGTAACATTGGTCAGACTTGTAAGATTGATTTGATCCACCTTTTATCAGTTTAGACAGATCAGAATTTAGGTTTATATGTAAACTTGATTTAGATCTCGAAATTTTATCTTTTTCAAGCACAATTTAGACTAAACAGTAAAAATACCTTTATGACGTCCCAAAAAAAAAAATTTAAGTCTTTATATCAGTTAAAAATACCCAAAGCATAAACCAAACCTTTACGGATTTCCTCTTGTTGCAGTACTGTGGTAAAATTAGCCCTGTGTTGAAAAGTTTTCAGATTTTTATGTATGTAAATAAAGTTACTTAATATTATTTAAGGTGTCATCTGGTGTCAGCGCCAGTCGGGGAGCTCTTCCAACACTTTAGCGCTTCCCACACTATCACTGCACAAAGTCAGTGTCACAGAAGTCAGACAAACTGAAGGTGACAAAAATCTTTGAATTTTTAAGAAGTGTGTCCTGAGCGCTCAGTAAAACACGGCTGGAGTCTGAGCGCTGCGTTTTCTGTATGTAGAGCAGAAGAAGGGGGAGAGCGAGGAAAGGGTGATAGGCAGCGAGGGGAGGAGGCGAGAAGAAGGAGGGGTGAGGATGTTAAGAGGGGGTGGAAGCTGTCAAGGCTTTACTCTCAGGGTACTCAGTGGAGGAAAAAATAAGCCACAGAATCTAGGATGCCTTCAGGTGTTAAAACATTTTTAGATTTTTAATCATTTCAAGTGGAGCTGCAGGATACAGCAAACCGAATCAAATTTTCCGGGCTAAAAACAAGACGCAATAAATACTGTTATTATTTTTTTTCTTTATTTTCTTCTCCTCCTCGTTAACAGCTTCCCTTTAAACCTCACATTTCAAATCAAGTGGCGTGATGTCCTATTTATGCTCCGTTAACATCACATAATGTTTAATAAGATGTGAAACACATTACTAGAGATGCTCTGGAAAATTTTAACAATCTCGAGGATATTCGTGGCTTTTCATTAGAGAAGATAAAATGTAGCAGAAACTAATCTAAAAACACAGAAGAACAAAGCTGTGTTAGCAACATGAGGATGGATCCAATTAGAGAAAAAACTGCAGAAGTATCATTCTGCACAAATTCAGTTTCCTTGTTTTTATATATATATATATGGTCTGGGGTTAAGCAATCTACCCTTGCAGTTCTGCAGCCACAAACACTCCCCGCTCTAGATAAATTGGTAATGCATACAAAAGGAAGCTTTGTGTTGTGAAAAGTGTGCCTGACTTTGTTTTTTAAAACATACTCTCTCAGTTCTGCAGTCTTGCGTGTCCTTTTCCATCACTACAACCTCCTTCTCCCCCTCGGTTCTTGGACCAAACGCTTTAGAGGAAAAGCTGCATAAATGTATTAATATAGGTGAGCTTGCAAGCTCATGCTACAGTCTGATATAAAGGTTAAGATTAGGATTTGTCCGTTTGTTTCAGAATGTAAATAAGAAATTATGTTCAGATCAAATTCATGTTGGTCTGGACTTTTCTACCCTTTCATGCATAGTGAAAGTCTACAGCTGTTTAAAATTGATTTACTTTCTATATATATATATATTTTAGGGATGCACGATATTGGGATTTTGGCCGATATCCGATATGTCGATATTTTAAAACTCAT